AGATCTCTTTAGCTAGGTTCTCTGTTTGTTTCATCTTCGACGTCCCTTATACTGAATTTTCTTTTAACTTTCCCTCTGCTAACCAATTGTTCCAACTCAGGAAATTACTCTGCCATTCTACCAGTTGACAGACTCCAGCACCGATTGGGCAAGTTCCGCTGGTTTTATATTTTATTTTTTCTCTGTTCATTTCTATAAAGGAGATTGTAACCTTATTGGGCATTGTTAACCCCTATTTTCCTCTGTAAATTGGCTTTTGGATTGATTTGTGTATGCAAATTTTGAAAAAATCGCCTCATGTCAGATTGGGGAGAAGGGGAAGTAGAGACTGCGATTAAAGTGCAAGCATTAATCGAAAACAAGGAGTTGAGTTCTATATTCTATTTGTAAGGAATAAAATCCTCTTATTATTATTTTTTTTTACTTGTAATTCTTTTCATTATGGACTCAAATTTTTAATAAATTTTTATTCTAATTAATATGTCTTATTTTATTGTTATTGTTAGGTTTTTGTGGGCAAAAAGAGGAATTTTGTGAAGAGGTTGGGAAACGAAGTTGAAAGAAAGGACTCAATTAAAGAAATTAAAAGTTTGAGGGTGAAATTCATCAAGTCAAAACCACAAATCCAGCCCATACTCAATATTGAGCCCACTAGCTATTCAAGCCCAAACCCAACCCCAAAACTCATCGTTTCATATTCCTCTCTCTCCCTTCCTCTTTCACGTAGGCCCTCTGTTTTTCTTCCTTGTGCAGACGGCTCTTCTTCTTCAAATCCGCCTGCAGCCAGCTTTCCTCCTCCGATTATCATCACTGTACTTCTAATTCCCTTTCATCTCGTTAGTTTTCTTCTTTTCTCCCACCTTTTCTTCCCCGTGCAGACTCTTTTTTTCTTCAAATTCGCTGGCAACTTCTCCGATTGTCATCATCACCTCTCATGGCTCCCAAATCCTTGAATCTCTACCAAGTTCTCAGCCCTCACTCTTCCCTCCCTCGATTCTCCTCATCCCTGATTTCTTTTCTCCGTTTCCGATTTCAGTTTCTATTTTTTCCCGGATTTATGGTCACCCAAGGAAATTGAAGGCGAGTGAGCGTCGAAAAACCGACAAAGGTGTGCCCAGATCTGTCAATCGGTGCTGATGGTGCCCTCCACGCTAAGTCTTTTTAATTCGATAAAAAAGTTATCTCCCGTCAACTGTGAATTCCTGGGCAGATCTGATACATGCTTCTGCAGATCATTCTCCTAGCCACAAATCAGCAAAGAAGGTGATATGGGGCCGAGTAAGCGCAACCCAAAGGCCCAAATCTCAGTTCTAGGGCCAGGAAACAG